ATAATATACCAAATAAAAATAACAGACCGAGCAGCATTAAATCGAATATATTATCGATAATTTTTATAGATCTGTAAATTTGCTATATTATAAAATAACGTAAATAATATAAATAATAAATTGTAAACATATTTTCTGTTAACATATCTTCAGGACAATTATAAAAAATTAAATTATTTTTGTAAAAATAAATGTATGCGCACGCATATGTGTATGTAAGTGTAGTATGTGAGCAGTATGTGAGTCTTTATGTTGGTAAGCGATTTTTTAACAAAATTTTTTAATGGAATGATTAAGTCGGTTATTTGAACAGAATTCGTGAATATCTTTGTAAGAACCTGATCAATCGGATATGGTCATTTACGATAAACTTTAAAACTGTTTTAAAATTCGCATCATTCTTCAAGTTCAACAATCTCAAGTGTAGATTTTCCATCTGGCCACATATATGAAGAATCAGTAAGCTAAGAAAATTGTCGACTGCGGTATAAGAAAGACCAGATATAATCTGCGAGATTATTTGTGCTAAATATGTTAGCTCGTATTTCGGACTGCTGGATACATCGTGCAGATAGTAGGCTTGGATTGACAACGGTTTTCCAGGATCAGTGAAATTTGTCACGTATCTAAGCGTTCGTCCAGAAAGCATAGAGCCAAGAGAGACCAATACTGTAAGAAATATCATGAATAGTCCGCATGTGGCGAGTAAGCGAGTAATTTTAGCTTGCTTTAGCATGACACTTCGCTCTTCTTTCATTTTCTTCTTTATCCAATCTTTCACAATCATTTTAATCAATGGTGATAAAGCTATGAAAAAAATATGTTTGCATTCCATATACATACATGTAATTATTATTTTTTATAATATTATTTTAATATTGCGCAAGTTATATAACAATTTCATTGATGTATTTGTTGATATGATATTTACGAAAAGTTTTAATAAAGTAGAAATCTTATAAGCTATAGAAATTAATCACATAGGTTAAAGCAAATAATTTGTTGAATAATAATACCTTCTTTGTTGTACCACATGATGAAGACCTTTAATGTCGTAATTAAAAGTGGTAATGTAAATTGCAAATTATCTATCATTAATAACATATCGCCCCAGACCCTTATCAGCGACGCTAAAGCTGGTATTGTGAGTACAAAAATCAGCATTATCACATGAAGTAACAACCGAAGTTTGGACAATAATTCTTCACGTTGATTTTTACTCTCTTGTGGCCATAAACCCACAATTCTTAACATAAAGCGATTCAAACCAATTGCCCATTCTAAATCTGCAATAATCAATTAACCGTGCATAAATAAAATTTTTTATTTAAACATCACTTCACACTGTAAACCTCACACATTTTTTTTACATTTTACATATTAAAATGTTATCAAAATATTTTATTTAAAGAAACATTATTTTATTGTAAAATGTAAAACATTTTCACTTATCTTTGTACTTTATATATTAAAATTTTTTATATAAATTTTATATATAAAAATTTATAAAGAATAAAGAGAATATACATTTATGATATCTGTAATAAAAATGTCATTTTTTAATTTTAAATGGATAAGATTAAAAGATCACATAAGGATTTTATTATTTTTATGTAAAAAGCTATTATGCACACTTAATTATTAACTATCAATTATCAAATAAAAAAATATATAATATAAAGTACAATAGAACGTTTTGTAAATTCAATAGAAGCTACAAAAACAATATATTTAAATATAGTACTAATTTAAAAAAATAATGCAAGATGTATTGTGTCATCTGTAACATGATTATTAGAAGAAAAAATACATTTTTCTTATGTCAAAATTTTCTATTGTGCTTTGCTATTAATAAATACATGAAATAATAATTTTTTTACAACATTGCGAAGTATTATTTTATATTTATTTTTGGTAAAAATTTTAATAATTGAAAAAGAATACCATTATATTCAGCTGAACGATCCATGGCATTCATTAGAAGATTACTGCTCTTGTGAGTAATATTACTTCCATTTTCTAGATACTATGTCGCGCATGCCTACAAACTAATTTTTGAAACGCTATGGTACGCTGTACGTATCTCATAAGTATTGCAGCAAAGGAAAGGACATATGTTCTTATGCTAACGTGCTCATTTCGAAAGGGTTTAATGAATAAATTATAATAACAGGTATGCGAAGTTCTTCAAGTGAATTGTACTTTCTTTATATAGTTTCTTATTTTCTTTGTTTCTGTTGCCAAAAACATCGCTGTTGAAGAATAGAAAACTGCACAAAAAAAATTTCTTACTCTCATAATAAGAGATGAGAAACGAGTTATGTCTCTTGAAAATTTTAGAAGACGCATGGAAAACGCCACAGCTTGTGTCGACATTTTTTTTGTTGTTATAAAATTTCATTGCTGAAAGAGAAAAAAATCGCCATTTCAACGATGCATTATCAATGAATCTACAAGTCTGTCATTTCCATCAGAGAGTCGGGACATAACTACATAACAATAATGACAGGAAGAAATAAGAGGTGAGAATTTATCAATCATATTAATTTAAATTAGTGTTAAGATATGCATTTATAAAATGATTCTGAAATTAAAATATTTAAAATAATAAAGTTGTGCAAGGTATCAATGTACGTGTGCGCTCGCGCGCGTGCGTGTGTATTCATATGTAAATATGTATCACAATGTTCTTTTTTGTATCAGCCACATACAAATATAGAAGACATGATATCGAAAAATGACAAACATCTTATTGTTAATTTTTCTAGAAGAAAATTAACGTCTGAAAAAATCTGAAAAAGACATGTAAGACCGTTGCTATAATCCAACTCTCTAAATCAAGCTAGAAGCTATTGTGACGAGAATTGTTTGGCATTTAAGAAGTAGTGTTTCAAACGACGTCTTTGGGAAACTAGACGAAACTCCACTTAATTTTATCATGTAGGGCTCTTAATATCTAGGCGGACTTTAGTTTCTTTAAGCTATTCATGGGAATCGATAATATTAATAACATAAATATTTTAAAAATACAATAAAAATAAAAAATTGAAGATGATGAAATAGAAGACTCGCAAGGAACCTTTGTTCAGGAGAAATCGGTTGATGGATGGATTCATGAGACTTCGAAAACACAATTGTGATCGGTAACGCTGACTCTTGTAAAAAGGAGCCTTTGTAACTTCAAAAAAGAAAGCAAAAAAGGAAAGGAAGAAGATTCGCAGAATTCTTCCAATTCTTATACATTGCTAAGCGGAGTTGAGAGACACACCAACACAAAGAGTTGGAAGAGTTTTGATAACATTTTCCATCTACAAATAAAGATATCACAAAGGATAGTCCGATATGATAGTCCGATTCATAATTTTTTAAGATAACGTTTGTATAAAATAAAAAAAATTACTAGAATAATGTAAAATATATTTAAAATTTTTTAAAAATCAAATTAGGTTTCATTATTTGGATCGAAGTGATCTGGAGGACAAAGGATATCTTAAAAAGTATGGAACAGAAGAAGAGTTAAAGTTTTGTACGGATTATCTATAAAAAGCTTTGATAAGCTATAAAAATGATCTGAGAAGAATTGACGAACAATAAGGATATTCTCTGATAGATCCGTGATTGCAGGATGGACTTTAGATGAGAAGAGTTCGCCTGGAATAGAGCAAGGAATATAGATCAATCCTGAAATTTTTTTAGAAAAAGAAATATAAGAATTTTATGATTAGAATTTAAGGAAAAAATTGGCAGGACTTTTGCAAGTCGGTGGAGGATACATCGCAGACTGCAAAATTCTAACATTTTTTTAAATTTTATGTATAAATGCTATAATATAAATAATAATATAACAATCTTTAAACATCATTATATATCGTAAATTGTAATATGTTCATATTCATATTTCTTTTAATAATTTTATATATTCAGATATTAAGTATCTGAAGATTAAAGAATTTACATTTATGTTATCTATATAGTAAAAATTTAAATTTTTAAATAAAAAAATTGAATATTATGTAAAATTGATAATAATTCGTATACAAACTTTGTATCACTTTTATATAAAAAGTTGTCATGTGTATTTAACTATCAATTAAAAAAATAAATATGAGAAGGAAATATTAAAACTAAAATAGTTTTAAAATACAATAGAATGTTAAATTTCGATGTTAAGAAACAATGTATTTATTTTTTAATTGTATAGTACAGATACAGCATATTAATCTGAACATAAAGAAAGAAGGGAATTAGTGGCACATGTATACATAAATATTATCATTCGTAACATAATAATTAAAGAAAAAAGTACGTTATTTTAGTTGCGTTAAAATGCAAAAATTCCTATTGCATTCTACATATTAATGTATTTTCTTCTCTGTTATTAATGAATACTTGAAACAATAATCTGTATGATATAGCAAAGTATTATTTTTATTAGAACTATTGTTTGGTAAAATTAGTATTGATAGATTCAAATAGAGACAAAATATAATAGAGACAAAAAAGACATCTAATATATTCATCTAAATGATCCATGGCATTCATTAAAGAATTATTTCCAGATTTTCATGAATCATGTTATCTCTATTTTTTTAAACATTATGTTGCATGTTTTCAAACTACAATTGTTGAAACCCGAAAGTACGTTGCACCGTCGTAAATATTGCAGCAACGAGAAAGAACATGTGTTCTTGTCGCTTACGTGTTCGTTCAAAAGAGTTTACTGAATAAATTATAATGGCGAGTGTGCGAAAACGAACAATTGAGGTTCACTAAGTGAATTATACTTTTTTATATTGTTTCGTACTTTTTTCCCCTTTGCTGTTACCAAAGATCTCGCTATTAGAGGATCGCAATCGCAAAAAAAGAATTTCTTATACTCGTAATAATGAAACGAAAAGTGAGTTCTAGCTATTGAAAAGTTGTTTAGAAGATGCGTGGAAAGCACTATAGCTTGTCGACATTTTTTGCGTTGTTAAAAAATTCCCTTGCTGAAAGAGAAAAGTATCGCTAGTTGTTGGACATTTCAATGATGCATTATTAATGATTCTGTAACTGTAGGATCGCTTCGGATCAGACAGTCGGGACATAACCACGTAACGAGAATGACAGGAAGAGTGTTAGTGACAATTTATCAATCATATTAATTCAAATTAGTATTATAAGGAATACATATTTAATGAAACAATTCTAAGATTAAAATGCTTAAAGTAAGAAAATCTGTGAAATATTAATGATATGTGTATGTGTATATATATATATAATGTGTGTGTGTATATATATGTGTATGTTATGTATCAATTTTCTTCTTTCTTCCATCAGCCATAACGTATGGATACAATAGAGAATACTTTATCAAATAACGATAATCTTTTTATTAATCAGTTTTTCTGGAAGACATTCAGACAGTTGATTTTAAATAATTGTAAAATATATTATTTTTAAATTATAGTTAATTGTAAAAAGTAAAACCTAGATTAATTCCACGATGAAATATTTACTTTGTATATTGTACATTTATTTTGTACATTAGTGAAGCAGCTCAAGAAGAAAATTTTTGTGATATTTTAAAAGCTGGTTCGTCGGGATATGGTTTCAGCATGTGAGTTTATCTATTCAACTTGCTTGTTAACGAAACTCATCGCCAAAAAGAGGGAGTGAAATAAATTTTTTACGACGTTGTTTTCGTTTAGGACAGAAGTTTTTACGGCATTTTACGGTATCTCGATATAAAATGCATCTTAAATTCTAAAGTTGCTTAAATTCTAAATTTTAAATCTTGAAATAAATAAAAATATCACAAAGAAATATTTTTTACCTAGAAAGAAATTAATTCAACTTGCATGTATTCGCAAAAATAAATTGTTTGTTCTTGTGTATTGCAATTGTCTATTATTTTTTAAAGCAAAAATTGCTTCAAAAATCGCGTTTAAATTTACAGAAATATTTTTTCACTATGGCGTAACGCTACTAAAACGACTACTAATTTACAAAATTTACATTTGTTACGCGTGACAATGCTGAAGCGCGAGTACGTGAAAGATTTCCCAATGCGAACTGTTTATCATGCAATACTAATCACACATCACGCTCTTTCACGAATTATTTTACGCTTATCTACAAAAATCGGATCATTGGGACACACAATTTATCGATTAGGATTTATCTTTAGGTTGATAACAAAAACATCCGTGTAACAAAACAAGATTGATAAAAAAAAAAGAAAGAATATCTTTTTTATAACGAAAACAGATACAGTACGACGAAATTGCTGCTGATCTCTATCAAGACTCTTTTATTTTCATGCAAAACAAGAGTACAATATAGGACTATAGAAATTTCTTATTATACAATTAATAAACTTATATGAGAAATAAAAAGGGACACAATTATTCTTATTTATTCGTTCAAACGTATGAGCTGCGGTAAATGCCATTGTTTTTCGCACACGATCATTTAATGCGCTGCTGCGATTATTGTAAGATAGGATTTCGTGTTGGCAGACGCGCGGATGTTGATGCTGGTTCTGGATGTTCCCAGACTTGACGACTCGCCGCATACCACCGCATAGCTGCCGTTGTCATTCATCACACTAATGTAATGAATAACTCCTATACAGAAGAATATTCCAAATAAATTATCACATTCTCAGGTATAATATATTTACTGCTCTTTAATAAACGCTCGATTAATAAATTAATAATTGTTAAATTTGATAATTGTTAATTTTATAATATGCTGTATTAATATTTTTTGCTGTTTAATATCTTGTTAGTAGCATCTTCCCAATTTTTAGCTACATGTGTCTCAATATTCATATTAATTAAAATCAAATTATATAAGTTTTTCTTAAGTAATATTTTCTCACCGTTAGTGATGGTCAGCGTTAGAATACCCGATTGAACAGTATTCGTTGGATTATTGAACTCGATAACTCGGCGGAAGACTGTTTCATCGGCACGTCTTTGTCCAATTTCGAGATTTCCGATGAATCCAGCAGCATATGTATTGGACACGAGACTTTTCTATATAAACATGACATAAGACATAGGTTTTTCTTAATGATCATGCCAAGAAATTTTGTTTATCCTTTGTGGAGACTGTAATATTTTTTTCTATATTGTTACAGCGAATATGTAATATTAAGATAAATTATTCAAATGCAAATAATTTAGATCAACTTTGATATAACGAATCTTTAGATTATCTTGCTTCATAAAAATTGATAATCAGTGTTTTTAAAGCTAAGATATAAATAGATAAGCATTGTTTCAAGTAATATATTAAAAATAAAAAGATTATTTTAATAAAATGTTAAAGTCTGACATAAAAATGAAGATCATGCGTATTTAAGAATTTGTATGAATTACACTTTTTTAAAAAAAAGATTATATTATAAAAGATATTTAATTTTAAATGATTTAAAATTCATATTCAGAAATCAGAACTTAAAATATTATTTTTAATTTTATATGCCATATGATAATATAAAGAAACAATACGTTCAAAAATACATACATATGTTAAAAGACATGTTAAAAAAATTATAAAATAACAAAATTATAAAAAAAAATATCTTTGAAATGCAATTTACGAATCGTCTAAAGCATATCTTAATTGTTTTATATATTTTCAGATTTTTATTTTTTTCGGTACGACAAATTATTGGCTTACCAGCGCCGTTTTTGGTACAACATCCTCTTCAGCGAAATTGACCTGGATATTATCAGTTTGTGACAGATCGATAGCCGTGGCCGCCTGCAAGAGTCCCAGAATTGCGAGTGCAACGACGATCGGACGCGACATTTTGATACGATTTGATCGGAACGTGAGGTGCGTCCTTCTCTTTTATAGGGTACCACAAGTGATGCGCCAAGGTGAGCGTGCCTTATCTGTACCCGGCTTTTTATGATTTCTCCATCGATGGTGGCCCTACCGCGTTTCTCCCCCGCGGAATACAAATAAGAAAAACGCGACCGCGAAGGAGGCACGTATGCCGTCCGTCTGGTTCGCGGGACCGTGCATGGACGACGAATTCTCGCGGATGACCCTCGAAAAGGAGTATCAGCCGACCATTGGTATTCGAGTCGAGCGTTTGGCGCCCCAGGTGTCCCATAAAACTCTACTTCTTTTATTGAAGTCCCTGTACATGTATAGGTGAAAACCATTTGCACGGTCGTAGTAAAGATAATAGATCCTTTCAAATCCTCGACCGCTTCTTCGAATTCGTGAGCTTATCCGTTCTTGAAAAAAGCTATTTATCTTTCATGTTAAACGAAATGTTGAATGCAAAAAAGAGTTGCATTTATATTTTCAGAAAAAAATTAGTGCGTTACGTAATCAGTAATAAATTTAATAATATTCTTCTTGGTACTCTTATCTTGTATCTAATTATAAGATAAATATAATATATATATATATATATATATATATATATATATATAACT